CACGTAGCAGTCTGAGGGCTCAGGGGATCCCCAGGTCCCGGCCCCCTCACCCTGGCACCTGTCGGGCACAGAGAGGGACAGGCAGACGCGTGGGCGCACGGACGCTGACTGCTGGGGCGCCTGTCGCCTGGGTCCCCAACACAGGGATCGAGTTCCCGAGGAAGAGGTAAATCTGCAAGCTTCCTAAATACCTCCACGGAGCTGGAGAGAGCACGTACCTGGCAGAACACAGGTGTGTGCACCCTGGAGAGGCACTGCAGGAGCTCCTGGGCGTCGCTGAAGTGGGCAGGGAGCCTGTCCACGCACAGGCACTTGGAGTGGACGCGCTCCGAGGCCAGGAGGTTGACGTCCATCCACTGCGCGAACAGCGCCCAGGGCCCCAGCCGCTTCCCCAGCAGCTCCAGCCGGGCCCTGGCCGCCGAGTCCTTCTTCATGTACTCCACGAAGCCGTAGCCCTTGGACAGGCCGGTCACCTCGCTGTAGACCAGGAAGCACCTCTCCACGTTGCCGTAGGCGCGGACGAGCTCCTCGAAGTCCTCCAGCGTGAAGGACAGCGGCAGGTTGGTGACGCACAGCAACGCATCTGTGGGCTGCAGCTGCACGACCAAGTCCTCGCCGCGGAAGGAGGACTGGTGGAGCGTCCGGATCGCGCTGCGGGCCTGCTCCCCGTTCAGCAAGGTGACGAAGGCTGCGCGAGAGCGAGACGAGCTCAGGGCTTTGTGAGGGCGGCGCTGTCCGGGTTCCTCCCGACCGCGGCCCCGGGAAGGGCCCCTCTTACAGGGCGCCTCTGTCCACACGCAGCTTCCCTAGCAAAACCAGCCCGCAGTCCGGCCCCTGCTGCGGCCAGGCTCGCCGAGTCTTAAGGATCTCCTTCACGGGATTTTCTCTCTTAACGCAGATCCCTCCACTAAACTAATTCCATGGCCCATTCGCTCACGTGGAAAGCATAGTGATTAAGTCAGGAGTTCCAACGTAAGAGCCGCCAGATTTTCGGGATTTTCCAACCACACACAGATTCGAATTCCCCCTAACAACCTGTTACATAAAATTTCATGAAGACTTAAAAAAAAAACTCACTGATTTAAAAAGAGCGGTTACAAACCTTCCTTTCTTCCCAGGTTGACCTGAGTACAAGTCCAGGGTGGTGTGTGGTCCCAGCACTCGAGAGGCTGAGGCAGGGGGAGTTGCTGGCCAGCTTGGTCTACACTGGGAGTCCAAGACCAGCCTAGATTACACAGCCTGGACTTCCAGAGCTGCTTCTCAAACCAAACAAAAAAAGAAATGAGACTACAGCAAAAAGCCACCAAAATACCCAGAGGAGACCAGTTCTTTCCAATTAACTCAATTTCCTTAAGCTCAAATCAATTAGATTGAAATACCCACATATGCAGACAACGCATACGAAGTCTCCTGGTAAACAGTGTCTCATGAAGAGGTCATGTGCTCCTTTCTGGACAAAGAATTTAATTAAAACATGCTAAAGCAGTTTTTAAAAATCTGTCCTTTCCACCTGATGGAGTTGCTCCAGCATTGAGCAACAAAATGCGCTGATAATTTACATACTCAAGACTGTGAGAAATGGGTTCTAAACCAATTTGATACCAGTTAGCAACTTAACTTCTGCCATGTCGATTTATCACAAAAAGGAACTACGTTAAGCCATTTGAAAATCTGAAAAGTCTCGTTTTCAGAAAACAACAGGACGATGTGAAAATCACAGAAGCCTGGCAGAAGCCCCCACAGCTGGGCGGGGCCAGGGGAGCACAGAGGCCGCCTGGGAGCGGCCGAGGCCCAGGGCTCCGGCTCGGCTGTTCCGCGTTAAGTCCCCTCCCCGATGCTGACGGGCAACGCGGGCTGCGCTGTCTCCCTGTAACCAGCAGCTGTGGCCCGGCCGAGGCTGCTGGGCGCTGGCGAGGCGACAAGCACAGATCGCGTGAAGGTGTGCGATCCAACCCGTCTGCTGGCCCCACGGGCCTCCCACACCCGAGGGCCACTGGCCCTGCACCTCCGTCTTCGCTTCCATACATAGTGCGCTGCACGCTGGCCATGCGCAAGCAAGCCGTCCCCGGGCTGGGCTGCCAGAGGCCGCGCCCGTCCCCGCCTCCCGCCACGGGTCCCTCAGGCCTGCTCGCGTTCTTCCTTTTGGTTCCACAGCGGCAGGGAAACCACAGCCCCAAACTGGAAGGGCCGAGGCAGGCAGGGAGCGACCAGGGCCCGCGGCCCTCAAGGAGGACGGTGTGACTGCGCCGTGAAGCCGCCTCGTCCCCCGCGGCATCCACCTGCACAACCCGGTCACCGGGGTCCCCCACTTTCCGCTTACCCCGGGTCTCGCCAGGGCTCGGACCTGCAGGAAGCCTGCGTCCGCCCTGCCGTCTCCGAGGGCACCGGCTCTGCTGCGTCCGCCTAGCTGCCCACTCTCAGGCCACACGGTGGGCGCCCGACCGGGCACAGAAACCACGGAGAGGGGTGAAGCAGGGGGTGCGTCCACCCATCGCCACACCTGAAAGCCGCCGCTCCTTTGTCCTTCCCCACACAGCTGCGTCTCTCAACGCAACTTAGAAATTTTATGGTAGAAAATAAATAACGTAGGTAAGCAGATTAAGTTCAGGCAGTAGGAGAAAAAGCCACTTTTCCCATTCCAGTGTCTTCCATTTCTCCCAAAGACCACACATTCCCTAAAATAGTAAGCTCTGTTCACGCTGGCTCTGGTGGAAATGTCAGCAGTCACTACGGCTTCTGAGGGAAGTTAGCATTAATCCTACTATTAAGCCACTTTTCCCATTCCAGTGTCTTCCATTTCTCCCAAAGACCACACATTCCCTAAAATAGTAAGCTCTGTTCACGCTGGCTCTGGTGGAAATGTCAGCAGTCACTACGGCTTCTGAGGGAAGTTAGCATTAATCCTACTATTGTTTTCTCGTAAGACCGAAGTACTCCATGGCTGACCCCAACCCTTGCATGAGTCTTGGCCGGCTCTACTAATGAACTTATCGGTCAGATGTGACGGAAAGCATGCTGACAGTTTGCTCTCTAATGTAGGCATTTTTTTTCTGAGTTACCAGGGATTGAACCCAGGACCTTTGCATCCCTGGCTCCCCTCTTTTTAAACTCTGAGACAGGGTCTTGCTATGCTGTTAAATTGCCCAGGCTGACTTTGAACTTGCAATCTTCCTGCCTCAGCCTCCCAGAGTGCTGGGATCACAGGTGTGCACCATGGTGTCCAGCTCCTATTTTAACACACTGCTTCTTCATGCCACTACACAGAAAGCTCTACTTCAAGGCTTTAGTTTATAGCTGTAACCATCTTTTAGAAAATTATTAATTATATGTTTCTACAGAAAGTTGCCATGGCAACATTATTTGACCAAGGCACCATCACTTTACCCAGTTAGCAAGCTTCTCTGCTGTGCTGTGTGGACCAAACTCAGGGCTTGCCCCGTACCTCCTTCCCTTAGCACCAAGTACCACCAAGTACCACGACGCCACCCCATGGACAGGGCAGGAATTACAATGGGGCTCCTGGCCTCCCCTCCTGGCTTCTGTACGGTTGTACATGCAGGTTTTATTCTTATGTGCATATAAATCTCATAATACAGTCATCATTTTTGCTTTAAACAATGACCTCTTGAAGAGCTTTACTTATTTTGAAAAACTTTACCATATAAAGACCATATTTGGTTCTTTCCCCTTTCTTTTTGCCCTCCCTCCCTCTTTTCCTGTCTGTGTGTCTGTGTGTCTGTGTGTCTGTCTGCCCCACTTCTCCGCGCTGGAATGGAACCCAGGGCCTGCTAGCCCAAGTGCTCTACAGGGAGCTACAACCCAGCCCTCATATCTGGGGTTTGTGCGAATGTGTGTGTGTCTTTCCTACAAAGCATGTTTCATGGTGATGAATTCTTTCAATATTTTTGTATGGCTGAAAAACATCTTTATCCTCATTTTTAAAGCATATTTTCAATGGTAAAGAATTCTATGTTGGCTACTTTCTCTTTCAACCAAGAAAGAAAAGATGTTTGCCTGTGGTTTTCTATTGTGTTTCCAAGAGATTTGTAATATCTTTCTCAATAAAACCTCTTTCTTTCTTCCTTTTCTCTTTCTTCTGTATTTTCTTTTCTGTAACATGTAGATTTTCTCTTTATCACTGATTACAAGCAATTTTATCACATTTTTTTCTTACAGCTCATGGGCCTGGAGTTGGTTAAGCTTTGTAGGTGTCTGGGCTTAGAGGTTTTTAATAGAAATTAGAACATTTTTAGCCACTGATTCTTAAATACTGCCTGTAGGAACCCTTCCCTCAGGACTCCAATCCTCCAGTGTCAGGGATCTGAGGTTGTCTCGTGGCTCACTGCTAAAAATCGTTCCTGTTGTAGTCGACCTCTTCTTTCCGTTCTGGATCACCCGTGTCACTAGGTTTACTATTCTCTCTTCTGCAATGCTTATTCTGCTGCTCCCACCCAGTATACTTTTAAATTCAGACTCTGTCGTCTCCATCTCCAGAAGTACGATTTGGGTAGTGTTTACCCTCACCATTCCGCTCCTTACTCGTTCAGACATTGCTACAACTTCTTATGTCCATGGAACACAGATGTAATAAAATCCCTTTAATGTCCAATTTCATTAATTTATCTGTGAAATCCTGAGTCCATTTTGATTGACTGATTTTTCTCATCATGATAGGTATTTTCTTGCTTCTCTGTCATGTCTAGTAATTTCTTATTAGATGTCAGACACGGCAAATTTACTGGGTTTGGGTGCTAGATATCTGTATTAATTTTAATATTCTTGAGTTGTGTTCTAAGGTGTGGTTAGGTTAACTGCAAATACTTTGATCTTTCCAGGTACTGATTTTAAGTCTTGTTAGTAGGACAAGATCGCAGTTAATGTAGAGGTAATTTTCCCCATGACTGAGGAAGAGCCTTTCTGAATATGTCTCCTGGTGCTATGAGCGTTAGAAGGTTTATCACCCCGGCTGCGGGCTGGAAGACCTGTTCCTCCAAGCCCTGCGACGCTGTCTGTCCAGCCACGATGAACCTCTTAGTGCTTTCATGGTAACAAACAGCGTCTGCAGCATGCTTTCCATCATGATGCTGAGTGACCAAGCCCTTCAGTTGTGGAGGAAAAGTTGCAATGCATATTAGAGAAAGGTACTGCAACACTGTTTCCAACACTTCAAAAGCTGTGGCATCCTAGATACATCCATTGTGACAAAATCCTGGACAGAGCAGCAATTTAAATCAATGAGCTGGAGGGCTGATGTTTAGCTCAGTGGTGCCAGCTGCCTGCCTCGCAAGCACAAGGACCCACATTCGATTCCCGGTACAAAAAAAAAAAAATAAAAAAAAAAAAAAAAAAATCAATGAGCTGGAGCTACATGCATCAACATGAAAGGATCTGAGAAGACTGCTGGGGAAAACTTGCTAAATAAAACATACAGAACATTTTTTAACATATACTTTTGAAAAGAACAATCTTTAATTGTATAGGTACACTAAAATTACAGGTTTTAGTCAAAATACTGTGATTAAAACAGGCACACACATGCGCACGCACACACACACACACACACACACTCACAGCCTCTCAATCTCAATGCCAAAACCAAACCAAAGACCTTCAGGTTCCTGCCTCACACCCAAGTGAAGGCACAGGCAGAGAAAGGCTTTGTCCTCCAGCACCAGGGGACCTGGGCTGAAGAGGCCCCGCACCTTCCCCAGCCCCCTCTGCAGGGGCGGGGTGGGCAGTGGTCAGCCACGCGCTTGCTCTGACACCCTCTGTCCTAAAGGCACACTGCTATTTCCACTCGGATTTACCAAAAAGCAAATCCCACCAGGGGTGGTGGTGCCCAGCACTCAGAAGGCTGAGGCAGTAGGCTCACCATCAGAGAGTAGGAGACACCAGCTCTCATCTTCATGGGTGGTGGTCTTTTTACTGCTCCTCCCACCCCCAAATCTGAAAAAATTCAATGAGTCTTACACTAAGGCTGTAACATGCATATACTTTAAATTTGTATTTAGTTGTTTGTGTGCTGGGGATGGAACCCAGGGCCTTGCAATGCTACATGAGGGCTTTGCCATTGAGCTCCATCCCCGGCCCTGTATATATATATATTTTAAAGACAAAATAATAACATTTGCTAACTTGGGCGCATACATGTACACAGTGGTTATATCATCTTTCAGACAGATGTTTTTAAACTTTTACGTATCATGTGCAAACAAAGGGAAAATGTTTTAATCTCACAGATATTAAACTAATACTCAGAAAAAGCAAAAATGAAGACCGCAGACCTACTAGGAATGCTCAGCGCAACCCCTAACTAGAACATCGGCTGTTTCAAACCTCCAGCCTCTAGTAACATTGTATTCGCTTGTGCGTCATGACTTAGGATACTGTTTTTGCTTTGAGGAAATGCACTGCCAACATGCCGATTCAATTCTTAGGAATTTCATAGATTAGCGTGGTCCCTGCAGAGACAATGAGCTTTTGTGCTCTCTAAAGACTCTACATGGAAACAAAATGAAAAGATTTGCTTAGAACTGAAACCTTACCTGTTCGTTTGTTTCTGTCCACGTAACAATACTTTAACTCATAGTCCTTGAACAAATCGTGCACTTCCTGAAAGAGATAGAATTGTGAGTTTAATCAGCACACAAAGCCATTCCGGGCCAAAGCGGCCTCCACCAGCCTCTACCGGGATCACTGCTACCACCATGCCCACATCAAAAACAAAATCATTCACAGCTCCCCATCCCTTACCCCCTCCTCCTCCTTCTTCTCTCTCTCTCTCTCTCCCCATTGGTTTTTTGAGACAGGATCTTGCTATGTAGTCTAAGCTGGTCTTGAACTCATTGTGTGGCCCAGGCTGGCCTTGAACTAGCAGGAATCCTCCTGCCTCAGCCTCCCGAGTGCTGGGGTCACAAGCGTGCGCCACCACGCCCAGACTCCTCTCTGACTTGAGGACGTCGAAGCCCAGGTACAGCGGCAGCTGACGTCTCCGAATCCAAGCCCTGTGTGCAGCCCCATCCCTGGCCACATGGAGCATTCGCACCAGCATGCTGAGTGCCTCTATGCCATCCTGTGCCAGCGCAGTGAACAGGCACTGCAGCTCCCAGCTCTGCCTGAGATCACAGGCATGCTCAGAAATCCCTCTCAAAAGTTCTTCTGTGGAGACTTTTCTCCTGGTCATTTTCCACGGAACGAGCCACACACCTGTACATCCTTGCAGGGAAAATGTAGGGAAAATGGGCGCAGACTGTATTCATGGTGATAAGCAGATGCGTATCTTTAGCTTAGAGATCCCTCGCTCTATACACAGCCAATTTATTTCCCCTCTGCCTCCAGGAGCACTGGAGCAGGAGCCCACACTGTGTTCATGTGGCACGGGTGCTCACTGCAGGCGGCAGGCATTGCCACGTAAATCAGCTCCGGCACGACCTGCTTTACTCTCAGGGTGATATGTGGCCTTGCATTTCGGCTCACAGCACCCCGAAGGTGCAGAGGAATCCGACCCCATACAGTCGATGACAACCTGGCCCCACAGGAAACCCTTAGCACCAGCCAGGCCCACATGACGATGAAGGAGCTGATCACACAGACCCCGGGGTGTGAAGTCTGCAACCCAAAAGGCTTCATCAGTAACAATGGCCACCGCCAGGGTCAGTTAGTGCTTCTGTGACTCAGTTGGTAGAAGATGCTCAATTCACTTCTTTGTTTAAAGTCAGAAAACCACAGGAGACGGAAGCCGACTGAGGGGCCAGCGTGGCCCGTGTCAGCTTGCTGGGCAGACAGTCAGCCAGAGGGGCCACATTCAGCTCCTGCCACGCCGGGCGCACAACAGGTAACCCAAGGGCTAGCTTCAAAATGACCCTGACTGTTGTGTTCACAATTACTCAGCTAAAATAAGAGCAATGCAAATAAAGAAGTTGTGAATTAAGAAATATTTCCCCTTCAACCCAGGGCAAGAGGGGAAAAGAGCGCTACACAGTAATGGGCTAAGTATAAAAACATCATCTGGAGCCGGACAAGGCGGGGCGAGCACTCTGGGAGGCTGAGGCAGGAGGATAACAGGATTCAGCCCAATCTGGGCAACTGAGCAAGACCCTGACTCAAAAATAAAAAGTTTTAAAAGAGGGGTAGGCCAGAGATGTAGCTCTGAGTTTCATTCCTGGCAGTGCCCCCTCCAAAAAAACTAGGTGAAAAAAGATTGCCATCATGGAAGATGAGGTTGCTAATTTAACACAGCTCATTAGTCAGCTACATGGGAAATGTGTAAAAACACACGCATGGACCAGTTTTGTAAAATCCCGACTGCTGAAGCGCATGGTACGAAGGTCAATGTACAGATTCTGTATCACAAGAACTTCTGCCTCGTCGGTATCGGTGTATTGTTGAATTTACAGAAACACATACAGTATTCTCCATGACGAGAAAGAGAGCTTCTCCGGGGGCAGCCACATGGTGCCAACTGAGATTCGATCCCCGACAGAGGCTTCGCTGGAGGGGCCCACGCTTTCTGTCGGTGACTCGGACTCTAATCTTCCTTCGCCTGCCGAGCAGCTGCCAGGCGCAGACTTGGGAGATTCTGCGCCTCACGTTACCCAGGATGCGTGCACAGCGCCCTGTCCCCCGGCCAGCAGAACGAAGAGGAGACTGTGGGCCTACAAAGACACACTGCCACTTAGAAACTGTAGTTTGAAAACACCCGTTCTTCTAATCATGGCTTTTCTGCAGACCAGATGTGGGAAACAGAGTCTGCCCACTGGGGAGCCCCTGAGCTCTCCGCAAGGAAAAGAAACCAATTACTTTCTCCGTGCCCTGGTTGTCCTGACCCAGGGAAAAGTGGGTCACCGTCCGCTTGGGCCTCGGCAAGTCGGCCAGATTAGAAACTGCATTCCTGAAAGAGAGTCCTAGTAACCATTTGCCAAAGTTCTCCTCCCTCCACCACCCTGGTCAGAGAGGGCTGAAAGCACAGTCGCCGGAAGGGGTCTCGCTCTAGGCCATTTCCACCAACTTGCGGGTTCATGTGCTGGGCACCTGGGTGAACAGCTCTGTCCTGCAGCTGGCACTGTCCTGGGGACATTTCTCGGAGGAGGAGAAGTCTGCCCAAACCGACAGCAGGTTTTTTCAGTGGTTTGTTTCCAGAAGCTGAGTGGCAGACTTTGCACATACGAAATGTTTTCCGGATGAAAAGAGAAAGGAGACGCACCGGCTCCCCTCTCTCCTCACACTCAGCAGACGCAGTTGGTAACAGCACCCTTCGGGGGACGGGGAGCCGTGGGGCCCACCCCACCTGCCGTCCACGGCTCACAGCCGGGCTGGTGCGTCTGGGACCCGAGCCCTGCTGTCCCCCAGGCCCGTCCCGGGCAGAGGCGCTTTTGTCCACACTGTCCTAAGAAAGGCTTTCCGGGTCCTACTACATCACCCCTGCATCCCACTGCTGTGGACGGAAAGAAGGGAACAGATATCTTTGTTAATTTTGCTTCAAAACTTTAAGTTATTACTCTGATATTCTGCGAAGACTTCTGACACACACGACAAGGCCTGGGCAGGAACAGAAGGCAGGACCGAGAGTCTGAGGGTGGTCCCAGCCCGGCCCCAGGACTGTGCCTTAGCAGCCGTGCGCTCCTCGCCCCGAGCTCGCTGTCCACACACGCTACTTGGTGGTGTCGCGGCCAGCTGCCCACTGTGAGCACCTGGTCGTTGTGCTGCTTCGTCTTTGACACGACGGCACTGCGTCCCTGGAGCATCACGTGGTCCCAGCAGCGGGGTGCGGGCTCCGCGCCAGCCCGTGCTTACACTGAGGGACTCGTGAGGATTTGGCTGTCGGCTCGGCTCGGCGCTGGGTGCTACAGGGTGCTCAGGAAAAGCTGTCTCCTTAGGTCTCACCCCAACTCAGACTCGCTCCGGATTAGCCGGCATCCAGCCTGCAGCTGTGCGAGGTGCTTTCCTTGGACAGGTCTCGCTCGGATGCATTCAGGTCCAAGAGGCGGACTCAGACTGGACTCACGGCCGGCACCAGGCACGCCGCACACCCAGCCTCCAACGTGCAGAACGACGTCCTCCACCCTCGGCTCGTCCCTGACAGCAGGCCACGTGGTACCCGCTCCACGGCACCCACGGCTGGACGTCCGGTCCACTCTGCAAGGTTCTCTTCAGGTCCCCGGGGCAAAGTCGAGGGGTCAGCGGAGAGGCTCTGGGGTGCAGGCTCTGGCGATGGGGAAGGAGGCTCTGGCGGCAGAAGCCACGTCCTGGCAGGTGCAGGTGGGCGCCCCAGCTCTCTGGCTGGAACGACCCTTGGCCCCAGGAGACTGCCCCGAACGCTGCGGCCCCCACTCGGCCCGCAAACCCAGAGGCTCCCAGTCATGATACACCCCTCAGCTCCCCCCGAATCTCCCCTCCTCTGCCAGCCCAACAAGGCAGTTCACAGAGCTCGCAGGATTATCCGGTCTCGGGTGACCTCCCTTGTGCGTAACCCCAAACCAGCAGACCCCACTCTATCTGCAGTAGTCCCTTCCACGTGACAGGACAACTACGCGTCTCTTTCCGCATCACAGCCACGATCCCGCGGCTTAGGGCAGGAGATCTTCGGGGTCCATTTTTAGAATTCTGGCTACCACAACTCCTACTAACAGGTACTGCTGGTTCTGCCCCACAAGCCTCCACACGAGGCACCTCAGTGAATAGCTCAGACTTCCAGCTCAGGAGGCCGAGGAGGCCGTGCACTCACGGGCAGATCACAGGGAGGAGATCTTCACCCCACAGGAGACTCGACGTCTGCTGTGGGCATGGAGTCTGGAGACAGGGTGGGGGCACCGCGAGAGGACACTGGGGCAATGACGTGCACCCCGCTCTCGCCATTGCAGGAAGGGGTCACACATAAGGAATGGGAAACACCGGGCTGAACTGCACGGTGCTAGGTGTGATCCGCTTGGTCTCTGGGAACTCGCTCCTCTCAGGAGGCAGATGGGTGCATGGGAGGATGGAGGTACAGAGGGAAGGAAGGGGAGATGGGTGGGTGGGTGGATGGACAGACAGATGAACACACAGACAGATGGACAGATGGCTGGGTGAGTGACAGAGACGTAACCCTTGCATGTGGAAATTTTCATCATGCCCAGCTCTCTGACCAAGAGGACCGGCACCAGAGCTGCCCCAAGGCGGTGAGCACCCCCAGCTCCCAGGCACGGCCTCCACAGAGCGTTTCCCACGCAGAAATCGCGGCTCTGTGAGTTGGCTCAGGCTCCGGAGAGGAGATGCCGCTCACCGAGGGTCCCCCGCTGCAGAGGAGTGCTGCGTCCCGAGCCCAAGCCCATGGCTCCGCCGGCTGGCAGGCCGACCTCGTCTGGCGTCCTCACGCGGTCTCGCTGTGGTGCCCAGTGCATGAGTGCCCACTCTGTCTGCGCTGTCCTCAGAGACGGGACCCGGGCCTGCCGGCCGCAGTGTCTCAGCAGCTCCCTCGGAGGCCCCACCTCCAGCGCCAGCGCCAGGGCTCGGACACCGCCAGGGCCTTCACCACCGGTGCCTCCGGGAAGTGACCGATGCCAGGACAGCACAGCCTGCACCACAGGGCAGTAAATGGGGCCGGCGCAGGGGAAGGGGGTGGTAACCATGACAAC